ATAAATATAAACCATTAGTATGGTTAATCAGGGAGCTTTCATCTCTTTAAACCTTACCTTCATGTCTGGCTTAGAGGAGCCATGGAAAATTATCAGACTGAACTTATTTTACCAGTTTATGCTTGAGAAATGTTTCCCTCTAGACCTCCCATCACTTTTTTTGGTTCCTATGAGAAAGCTCACAGTTTCAGCTCACGGAAGTGCTGCACTACAATGGCAAGGGCAATACAAATTCATCCTGAGTGACACTAGCAGAAATGTGTGTGTACATTTGAGTGTATGTAGCCGGGTGGGCAGATGAGAAGATAAATGTGCACAGCCATTGTTGATACACTTAGAATATTATATCCAACTTCAGGAAAAAAGACAGGAGGTTTCCCCCTCAACTTCAGAAAAATAATGTCATTAGGTTTCTGGAAACGTATGCCAAAAAGCTCACTTTTTTCCATGTCACTTAGCTGGGTCTTGAAAGTCCCTGAGCAAGTTTTACGGTTTGGCTGGGAATTATTTTAGATCCTTGATCAAGAAAAATCCTCAGGCTTACAAAATCCTCCTTGGCAACACAATGAAAGAAAACCCAGCATCCTCTGATGTCTCTGATTCTTATGTGATCAGGGACACTAATGATAATGACCCTTTGCTGAGTATGCTACTTGTCTAGAGGCCTATGTCAACTACACCACTACATTCAGAGTGGACAGGGACAAACTATTTGTTTGCTCTTCAGGCCCCTTGGGCCCTGTCATATGCTATTTGTTCTTGCATTAAGAGGTAGTTTGACTCAGCTGGGCTGACACTTCCTTCAAGTCAGTGTATTCCACTCATGCAGTAGCAGCTACCAAAGCATTAAGTGTGGACTTGAGCCCCAGCAACAATCCTTTTAAGTGGCTTTTTTGATTCATATCCAGGGCTTTTCACATCTTTACTAGTCATTCTGGAATCCAAAATGACATACTTTTTTTAAAAGTATCTTTGCTATTTGATATTCAGGAGCCATAGCCTCCTCATTTTTAACGTGGCTGTTCATCAAAAACATGCATCAAAACCTGTGACTGTGAGATGATGAACAGGTGACTTGATATCACTGCATGACACCAGAGGCATCAAATGGCTCTACTTTTCTTCTCTATCTGATGAAGAAGGAGATCTGATATGTGATTACTCTGCTACTCACAGCTTTCATTCCTTTTCTTTCCACTTCCTATTCAAATTTTCATTGTAATAGGATGTCCTTGTGTTCACATCTCCACAGGAGAAGTATCCAACTTTTCCTGTTTAAGTTATTTTTAAATAATACCCATGTTCATGTAGGTTTAATGGGACAGACATCTGCTAATGTAAAACAGACAGAAACAACCATGAAAATGATGTTTTTCTAGTTAATTTGCATTTGTAGCTACAGTTGGAATTTGAATTATGTGTTTCTGATTGATTAGATTCTTCCAGTGTTGCATCAGTGTGATTCTGCTCATGTCATTTGATGAGATGCAGGATTCAGTTAGAATAGTGACTTCCTAAATGTGAACGTAGACCATTTATGATGTATACAAAGAACATTTCTACGCCTACCATCTATTTATTTCAGTTAGTAATTTACTGGCACTTAGAGACAATAACATCAAAAAGATGACATCAAAAAGATGTCTTCAATCTATCTATCTGGATCATATTTAGTAATACAGTTTTCTACTTATGCGTCAGTAAATCTCCAAAAATTCCCACTTCCTGACCACGTCTAAACAAGCACCTGTCAGACCCCTTGTCATGATGTCCCAGGGAACCCCTATGATACAGCTTCTGTCCTCTGTTCTACTCCAGCAATAGCAGAAGTCATAAAGTTTCATCTCATGACATAATACCCTCTTCCCTGATTTGCCCCAGTCACTGTGGAAATCTAAAATCTGCTCAGCATTTTCAACATTATCTTAACTGTAGGGCTGCTCAGAAAGTGATTATAAAGTCACAACTCTGATTGCAATTTATAAATTAACTTTTCACATATTCTACCTTTACATGCTCCAGACTTCTTATCCTCAAGGCCCCCTCTAGATCCAGGACCATAACCGAGGAAAAGTCTGCAAAGTAGCCAGCTGTTTCTGTGGGAGGGACAGGGGTGAAGCCAGCTTTGAAAAGGAGCTTTTAAAGTAAATTTAGGAAAAATATTGCAAAGATATATATCAGCTGCAGACATGACAGTGCTTTAGCTGATTTACCTCTTGTGTACTTTTAGCTGACACACACTAAAGATTTCTGGGCAGGAAAGCAAGTACTTGTCACTTTAGGTAATTTACGAGGATACAAAATAGCAGATAATACAGCCCACTTTTGTTTATCGGAAAGGAGAAAAGCGTTTGGCCATTACACACAAAGCTGAACAGAGTTCTCTTCTGATGCAATCCACTTTGTCTTATTTAGCACCTTGAACCAAAGTTAAGTCAGTGTAGATAAAGAGTAAGACAAAGAGATGGTTGGGTCTGGGGAGAGGCTGAGGGTGCCAACACAGGGCTGGTGAATAAATTTAGCAGCAAGGGAGAAGAGAAAGAAAACAATGTCTGGATTTGGAAGCCTAGCAAGTTCTCCACTTGCTGCTCGACCTGTGTTTAGCAATTCTGATGTGCTACTGAGCAGACAGCTCAAGCTCAGGATGACTACTCTCCCTCAGTCCCTCTTCAGCAGGCAATGAAAGCAGGCTCTACTTTGAAAATCTTCCCCCATCATGCAAACTGACACAGGCATGCTTTTCAAAAACCCACAGCCAATCTGTTGATCATTACTTATTTACAAAGGCCTTCGGGCAGAAAGTCCTGTAAAAACCATACTTGATACGGTATATACTAGCTTTTTCTGCTTGTGGAAAAAAGTACCCCTAAGGCTACCTCAAACCATCACTTTCTATTGCACATAAAATGTACCGTGTAACACTAAAGTATTTAATATATATGGTATAATATATCTACAGGAAAGGCATTTGTGTAGAAGTATGTTACCCTGTATTTGGTAATTTGATGTTTTGCTGAAGGCTATGACTTGAAAAAGTCTGCACCTAGTACAGAGGACCTGTCATCTCAGTACCCAAGAGCCAATAGAATAAAGAAGTACCCTTAAGCAGCAAAACTTTGACACAGCTTTGAAGCATATGAAAACAGTATAACTCCCCAGAATTATTATTACTCAAGATCAAAGAAATGAGACATACTTTACATAGCAAACAGGGACAGTGTGCTCAGCTCCAAATGTTTCAGCGCTTTCTCTCTCTCTCCCTCTCTTTCTTTTTATTTCTACTTCCCCAAAATTAGGATTTGGTAAGGGCAGGGGGGAGGAATCTCCCACATGTTTAAAACTTTAAGTGGTTAAAACTATTAGCACCAGATAAGAAGACTGTCCAGAGGTAAGTAAATTGAAAATGATGCTAGCATGACAACTGGCACCATAAAAATGAGAAGCTTGCCAGTATGTTCATTTTATTCTTCCTCATAAACCGTAAACAAGTATGTAAATCAGTGTCATATGCACAAGGCTGAGCTAACAGGAAGGCAGAGAACTTTTAATGATACGTTTAACAGAAATAGATGGTCAATAGGGAAAAAAACCCACAACTGCGTGCATTTTCCTCTGTGAATCAATCTCACTTTTGGTTCTGTAGTCTAAACAGAAATGAAGATGACTTGTAGAAGTTACGTCTTTGAATATGCCCTGTATTGCAGTAACAATAAACAAATATGGATGCTTTTGTAACTGGCCAAAGATAATTCTAGTCTACTGACTGAAATACAAAGAGAAATATCACCTAGCTGTATCCAGAATCATTAAAAGAACAAAATAATTGTCAAAACCAAGAGAAGTCGTGAGTGATTTTACATATGGGAAGAACTATATACTCATATTAATTTTTTTCACTTAATCTCTGTGACTGCAGAGCAGTTATACATAACATTCAAACCCCAAACTGCATGAATGTGTCTATTTATATATGCAAATAAGTTTACATTTTTCTGTGTATATACATACATATACAGTGGAAAACCTCTGCTATGGTATGTAATTCTGGATACAATTATGGACTGAGGTTCTAGCCTGGCTACTTTAGATATGCAAAACCAGAGCAGGAACAGCCTCCTTGTAGAAAATTCCTTGTCTCCTATTTGATTCTATTTTGACTGACTTGAGCAGGCAAAAGGTGAAGCACAGTGAGACAGAATGCAAATGCCATATTATTTTAATAGATGCCAATTTCTTGTTGCGTTTCTAGTTTTAAGAAATCTCTTAGAGGTAATTTGTCTTATGGAAGGAAACTACAGTTATACAAAGGTGTACTGGTGTAAAACAATGTACGCATAGCAGCAGGGGAAAAATATCACTAACAAGATGATGTTTTCATCACCCACTTTTAGAGTATATACTACCCTCTCAAAAATCCCTGTATTTCATAATTAATGTGCTTTTAGCCTGAATAAAACTGCATTAGTTTTGAACTTTGCTTTGGCAAGTACATAGATTATTAGACTTTTTTATCAGTCTAAATCAATTAACAGAAATTTGATTTCAATCGACAGGATAAAAGGAAGGTAATATTCAGGTTCATTTTTGATTGTGATGATACATCTCACATATGGCCTTAGGTACAGAAAACAGTACTCAGAGGGAATCCAACAAAAAGAGAATTGCCTGAGGCAAACTAACCACATGAGTTCCCCTGATTGGTTAGTGCTATCATTAGTGCCACTGCTGTTTAAGAACTACACACGGACAGGACAGGGTGACAGCTAAGACTTTAAAGCCTATGTATTTTTCAAACAGCTTTTCAAACTGTTTTTCATGACAGAATTTTTTTCAGCTCTATCATTAACTGCTGACAAGCTGACAGAATAAATACTTCAGCCTTTCAGAAACCATCTAACAATCTTCTTTTTCCACCTCCTCCCCATATTTTTGATGTGGGGGGAGGAGAAGAGGAAGGGAGGAAGAAAGCAGATGAAGATATGAGTTTCTTACAGCCTTACCTCATCAATTTGGGTGAGGAGTTGGGTGAATTTCGCATGCCTCCGTTTCGCTGCTTTTTTTTGGGTGACAACGTCGACGGCTGCTCATCTTCAACTGGAAATATAAGGAACTCATGAGATTAAGTACTGCTCTAAGTGCAATAAGAAATACAAGTGAAGTAGCAAAGAACACACACTCTATGCCCATTCACGCACTGATACTTCATTGCTAACACAGGCCCAACAGTAATAAAAATCAAATACATGTTAGTCGAAGAGATTGGTTTGAAGGAGAAGCAGGGAAGAATACCAGGATTTTGAACACAGGCGTTCAAATTGTTTTCATACTTCAAAAACAAAGTGGGAGGGGGGGTGAAACCACATTCAGGTTATTCTTGGAGTTATTTTCAGTTAATCTGCGCTACAGAAAAGTAGAATTAGTGCTCTGCTATATTCCCAGAAAGATAAAGTACTATTTGCAATACCAACATAACAGCTGCCAGCCTGCTTTTGCTAATGAACTAGACACCAGTTGGTTCTTGCTCCTCACATGCCAAACAACAGAGTCTTCATGAAGAGATGTAAAATATTCAATGCCTTGATGTTCAATGATTCAGTTAGTCGGGAATGTGAATGCAGCCTGCCATTGTGCATAGATCTCCAGCACAAGTCAGACCTCATTGCTCTACTCTTCTCACAAAGGGGATTTTTAACAGGAGTGAACAGAATGAGGTTGAATGGAAGTGGGGAGACAATACCTGTATAACAGAGGATGCATGTGTTATGCAATCTTTTAATGAGGATGAGGTGCATTTTCAACGACAGATCAATTTCCACATGTAAAATCACTTACGGTTTTGCCAATCATAAACTACTCTTGGATAACCTATGTCACAATACATGCTGCTTAAACAAGTGCAGCTTCCTAATAACTCATCTATAAGAATTAGCCATCATCTTTACTGCTTCAAGATTGTTACTGCACTTGATAATCTGTGCATAAGGTTTACGTGTGCCACCAAAGGGAATTATCTTATGCCTGCTTTCTCAAATTCACACTAATGGTGAATTATTCTAATATAAAGAAGGGAAAATACTTTTTTTTCCAATCCTCTTGTTAACTGAAAAATTAACTAGAAGATAATATAACTGATGCCTAGCTTTAAAGCCAAAAGGAAAGAGATTAGTAGTAGCAGTAGTAGTAGCAGCTATATTAAAAGAGCTTAATACACATTAGCAGTGCACAAGCAGAGGCTGGAAAAAAAATCTATTTGCAACGAGCTACGTGAGAACAATAACAAAACTTGTATATATGTGACCTGCCCTAGACTTATCTGGGAAGAAATTAAGCAACATCCTCCTGCTATAACCCTCTTCTGACACTATTTTATTACAGGCTGCATTCTAGCCCGTCATGTCTGTCTGTTTGCCCAAGTCAGCTATGGAACTTCATTTTGCCTTGGCCAAGACAGAAGGACTGAGCCCTGAAAAGACAGATGTGCTGTGTTTTTAAATGACTTGGCATCACCTAACACATCAAGGGAATTAAAACAAAATTGCAAAAGAAAAACAAAAGAAAAAAAAAAGAGCTAATCCCAAAATAAAAGCCCCAAACAGTGGTGTAAAAGGTAATACTTAGATCAGAGCAATGACTGTCTAATAATGATTTATTTCACTAACTTAATTTTCTTTTCTTCTCAGGCAGCATCGCCAAAGACAAAGCCATTTTCTTCTCATTTGACTTTTTTTCCAGTTCAGAGTCCTATAATGGAAATGCTTATTGATGATTAGTTAAGTACTATTCTTTGTTTGGCTGAGAGATAAATAAACCCATAGAAAATTCTCAAAAATAAACAACTTATAATTTTCCTTCTGTGACAGTTTGTTTGGATTAAACTAGATCACTTCAGTATTTAGCTACTTGTAACATGAATTGAACAGGCAGAGAGTTTTGTTAGTTATATCTTTCTATTTCTGATTATAACAACGTGCGAGTATTTCTGTATTTCAGAATAACCTCTGAAAATCACTCTCAGAAATGGCCTAGTCTTGTTTTAAAGTTGTCTATCAAAAAGTTATTCACAAGCTATTCCACACAGACAGCACATTGCTTTCAAGATACACACTGTGCTTTCTTGTTGCTTATAGGATACGAGTATTCAGTTCCAATGTGATGAATCCACCACTTAAAAGATCAAAGGAACAAGAACCATGCAAAATGTCATTTCCAGAAACCAGCTACAACTGATACGTTTGCTCTTTTGGTAGTAAAAATTCTAAATTTCACTTAATTTAATCTGCTACCATGGGGTTCCAGAATGTTTGTCAAGAGGTTCAGTATTGCACCATAAGTGTATTGTCATACTATTTTAACAGTTTAAGGAAGATATATAGTCATCAGGACCATGTGCAAAATCTTACATTAACACAAGTCAACTGTAGATCATATTATAGCCAGAAATATTTCTATGAACAAAAGAAAACACTATTAAGAAAGAGTACTTTTCCAAGTTTTCAGCTAGCTAAGAAGACTCCTGTCTGATCCTTTCAAATACTGCAAGTTAGTACAATAAGGATCTTTTGTACTATATGATCCATCATTTGCGTTCTCCAGTGCTGCCAGCTGATGCTACCCTGCCGCCCAATTAAAAACCAAAGTGTTACCAGCAATTCTACAGAGAAACCATTTCTAGAACTAGATTTCTAGCAGCCTGCACTTATTTTTGGTACTGCATCCACAATAAATAAGCTCCCTCTTTTGATATGTGCTTGCCATATTCAAACTATGTTACTGTCATCAATTGCCTAGAAAGTCCAAAGTTAGTGTGGCTCACTAGTTAATACCTGTTAGTAAAACCTTCTGATGGATCTCAGTTTGTTGCTAAAGCAATGCCTTGCTTAAGCAAGGAAGCCACTTACTCTCATTGCAGCAATGAAAGGTGATCTGTCTTAATCATATCACATCCAAATAAGATTCTGTTTCTCAATGAAATCTGTGCGGAGAGTTTACAGGGCATCTGCAGTTTAGAAACACAGCTCCATAAGAATGGAGGAAGGGAATCCATGAAGCTGAAATATGTGAATGGTATATAATGGACACCATTACCTATGGCTTGGTTCCCAAAAGTCTTGCAATGATAACTCACAAGTGTCTTCTCAGTAATAAGTAGGACATAAAATATATTTAATTATTATCCTTCAGATACTCTTATCAATTTCCTGCATATTTAAAGAAATATATCTAGCAAAATTTTTAGTAAAGTCATAAAATATCATTTTAGTTTCATGGTTCCTGTGTCTGCATCAATTTAAAAGGGAGTCTTCAATTTACTTGTTCTTATAAAAGACAACCACATTTGAATAATGGGCTGTGATATATGACAACTCAACTGTGATGTTGTACATTTGACCTAGTGCTTTTGCTAATGAGAATGAGTCCCCATTTTTAGTATTTTTGATGTCTTCCCACTACAGGATTTGTATTACAATACAGTCATATTATATTATGCAGACTTTCTTCACCAGCTTTCATAAAACTGCAAATAAGTTCAAGAATTGGACACAGAATTTTATAGAATTGGAACTCAATCCAGCATCTGAGTTCCAATAAAATTCAAGAGCTTGTTTGCACATCCATAAGTATAACACTTATTGTACTGTTGTAACAACCCAGTGCTCACTTGTCTAATAGGCAGAGAATCTAACAGTTTTGCAGTTCAGGAAGACTCAGTGCTAGAAAAATGTCAGGCAAGTCTAATGATGTTTCAGATGCTCCAGTTTTTCCTGGAGTTTAATTCAAAGTTACACTGATGTTTTAACATGTTTGCTTACTCTTGAGTAAAGAGGATTCACTATTTCAATGATATAACCTCCAGACAATGTTTCATGAATTGATTTAAGATGTGCTGGTAATTTTAACAGCCTTAATGTGGAGCTGAACATCTGTAACAACATATTACTTGACTTTTATCCTTATTTCATTTTTAAAGCAAAATAAAGGGAATGTCTTTCAGAAACAGTGGACAAGTTAGTAGCTTTTTTCTTTGTTATTTTGTTACTATTTTTAAAATAAGTCTGTCTCCTTCACTGCCTCTCCCAGGTCACTAGCAGAACAGTTTACAGACGCTGTTTTCTAGACCTCAAAAAGAGCTGGAATTTGAAATAACATCTATGTTACTGAACATCACATGAACTGGAATACCTGGCAAACTCATTCTGCCTAGCATGTAAATGCTTCAGAGCAAATAAACCATATGAAAGGTAAAGCACAAATCACCCAGAAACATTAGTTGACTAGCTATCTCGATTAACTTATTAATCACCACATCTGGAGAAACCCACATCTGTAAGTACTTAACAGAGCATTAGTAATGTCACAGTCACATTGAAAACAGACTACAAAACCATGCACAAACCAATTTGTATTGCCTTATACATCCAACTATGGGGCTACCTACGGAGATCTTGGTTCAACCCAGGCTTTTGGGAGTGGTAGCGGTATTTTACAGGCAAGCTGAGCGCTCTTTGTAATCTACAGTATGTAGATTTTCCTTGTTCAAGAGAACTCAATAAGTTAAGGTGCAGCAGCGAGGGGTTGTTGGATAGGAAGAGGCTCCCTTTACGGTTATTAACAAGTGGAACAGGTTCCAGGATTCCTTCAGTGGACTTGGCACCAACCAATGCATTAGCAGTTGCATTCTTGAATTGATATGAACATTTTGGGCAACTTGATCTAGCTGCATTCTTTACTTCTAAATAATAAGAAAAAATTTAAATTAATGTCTTTGTATTAAAAACTATTTCAAACCAATTTTGATATTATGTGGAATTACAGACTTTAAAGCTTAAAAGAGGCTGGTCTATAGCTGAAATAAAGGTAAATAAAGGTTTATACCTGCAGCTTTCTTAAGGTGTTTTGTTTTTTTTTTTTCTAAAACCGGCTTTTTATAAAAGAATACTTATAAAAGGATTATTCTACAATATTATCATCTTTAAGTAATAATCCCATCCTAGGGTAACTGTGTCTGAGGTAACACTTACTTCCCACATGTTGATAAAGGCTTTGAGATTTACTAGCTGTGGAAGATTTTTATTCCTTTAAGTCTATTGAAAATG